CTTGAAGATGAAAAGTGCTAAAGGTTGTTAGTATTCAGTATAATACCTAATAATTAGTGTCAGGATAATAATTAGTCCCAGGCTAAAGGGGTAATCATCTAAAAGGCCAATATTTACATGGGACCCAAAAATTCTCTTCAGACGACTTATTTAAATACAAGGCCAAGGAAACATTAACAAGGACAGAAATGTTCCAGTGTAAAGATGGAAAGGACAGGAGAGAAAAGGCATAGGAAAAAAAGCTACTAGGTCAAACAATAATTTGCCAAGATAATTGTTTAGCAGCTTATTTTAATTGGAATCTGGGGAAATACACTGCAGCAGGAGCATTCACAAGCAATGCATGAAGGGACTGTTGCATAAATATATCGAACAGTGTTATATTTAGTCCATTAAGCAAAGTGTGAGTGATCACACGGTGTGTGATGGCACTGCGGCATAAACTGATTTTCAGCTCATTGACTCCAATTGGCTTTGGATAAGGCCCCATGTCATTAGATGTGTTCCTGTTTCCTAGCAGTGCAGAGGAATAGTAGAAGTTTAGGCTGGTACTGCTGATATTAAACCTTAAACATGCTCCATTAATGCCAGGTAATCTGAAGAAAAAGCTACCCAGTGAGAGAATTGATTCTGAGATGGGAATAGATTGGCAGTAGTCAGATCTCTCACTCGATGGCTTTTCTCATGTATAACTTGAGTTAAGCTTTGTGCAAAGGCAGTGATTCGTAGCCTTTGTAGACTCACAGCATCCATTGTTAGATTCGGGGCACCCCTCAGAAAATTCCAGGTTTTAGCTTTCACCTTTTTTTGGCCACAGAAAATAATAGAGCAATTCTTCCATTGTAAAAATTCGGAGAGACCACAACAGATCTGCTTGTTTTTAGCAGTATGGAGTCTTATTTTAAATCTCTGAGTCCATCTTACGAATCACATGTGCATGCCTAACAGCGCTAATGTTGTATGGCACCCTGTGGCAGCCTTATTAAGAATCATTGTGTTAAAAAAACTTAGGTTGATGCCTTGCAATCCTAAAATGCGCAGCAGTGTCGTATGCCACTGAGCTCTGCTTTCCCTTCCGTGGGAGCCCTCTTGGGAATGGCTATCAGTGAAAAATAACAGCACTACACGATCCATGAGGCACAAGACATTATGGTGCGGATGGCTATGGTAATGTCTGTACATATAAAAATACACTAACATGGTGTATGAATGGTTTGTTCTCTTTTCCATGTTTGAATGCAAGAGGGCGGTGAAGACAAATTCCTTCGAAGCCAAAGAGTGATCTGAGCTGGGGGTTTCATTCTGGCCCATCTCTAATTCAAATAGCTGAATTATTTGATATAAATAACAAGAGTTTTCCTACTGACTTCAGTGAAACCAGGATTTCCCCCACGGCTGTGGACATACCCACATTTTAGTATACTTGCATATTTCAGTACACTTTAGTATCTGGATGCCAATTTTGTCTCAAAGTTGGCTTGCATGCATTCTAGTCATCTTCAACCTAATCCTACCCTCATTATAACTGATGGATGGTTTCCTATTCCCTTCAGAAGAGGAGAATCAATCCCTTCATGTCATTTTGCTTCATAGGACTCTGCTTTAGGCACAGGAGGATCACCTTAATGTATGGTATTGCAGATACCCTTAAGAAAGCAGAATATTTCTTTACATTGGGAATACAAGCAGGATCCTAGCCTTGGAAGGAAAGTGCCTTTAGTGTTTACTTGCTATTTTTGTGTATGACTTTAAGGCAGAGGCTTGTTTCTAATTAATTGAATAAGTGCTTTAATCCCTGGCCTGAGGGCTTCCCATCTAGTATTAGCTGTATTAAGGAAATGAATTGTAATCCCTTTAATATAAGCATAGAAGGACATGATAGTTTCACATTTCTGGGGAGAATTTTCTTCCTCAACACAATGTTTATTTAATGTTAATTTGTATAAAGCATAAATGGAGACTAGGCAGTTCTACTTTCACCTAATTTCAATGGATCCTTTATTACCAAAGTCTTATTGTCTTATGACTCCACTTTCAATTAGGTATTAGTAGTGTATGAAGAAAGCATATTATTAAAGTGCAATTACTGGTAGTAGTGGCAATCGTACTAGTAATGATTGCAGACCGCGGTAACTCCTGTCATGGACCAGATCGCCATCACGCTAGATGATATATAAATGCAGAATGAAAAATGGTCCCTGCCTGAAGTTGTAGGCAGAAGCTTTACTGTCTACCAAGAGCTTTGTGAGGCTCCTTACTGATTCCCTCTCGAAATCAGCCAGCAGAAATTGGTTTAGTGACCAAACTAAGAAGTTACTTTCTAATTGCTCACTCTGCAAGCTTAGTTCAAGACAGTTGAGATGGCTTTTGATTTGTCTGTTTTTCTTTTTATTATGATTTATTATTTCTATTCCTGTAGCATCTAAAAAGCACAATCACAGATCAGGACTGTGCTGTGCAGAAACGATAGCCCCTCCCTGCTCCACGGAGCTTATAAGTAATCAACTGCCCGTGGTAATGATCCTGGAAGGTGGGTAACATGTGTGATGGTAGCTTGTACTACAGCAGGCAATACTTTTTTTCTTTTGACTTTTTCTGGAATTTTTTGGTAGGTTATAATTTTAGTGGAACAACCTTTCAGTGGAAGATAGCAAGTGGAATGGCCTTTCCTCCCAAACCTGAACATTTTAATTTTCATTCTGACCAACAATTGAGTTGGTCAAGATGTTTAGATTTTTGAAAAACAATGTAAAAATTCAAAAGAAAATAAGAGTTTTGAAGTTAAAATTGATTTTTTTAAAGCCATTTCCATTTGGAAAATGGTAGAACAGATTCCAAATCCTCCAGCCCTACATTTCCATAATTGCTATGATCGATTTCTCCTCCTCCTCCTCCAGGCATTGATGGTGCTGGAGAAAATCCAGTGAACAATAACCCCTTTCTCTTGCAAAGAGGTTTTCTCCTCTAGTTCTACCACCTTTCTCACCAAAGAGCTCTTCTTTGCTGCCCCCATGGAGCTCCATAACTCAGGGCCACGTCCCTCTTAACTCCTTCCCCAAGCCCCGTCCGTGTTACAAACCAGTGAATCAGGCTTCCAGCCCAC